CTCCTGTTTATTTGTTTAATTTGCTGAAGATAAGTATGTTTTTCCATGTAAGGGCATGCTGTTTTGTGTCTCAGTATCATTGGCATGAGATCAGTCGTGGTTTCGCCCCTGCACAGGCCATCCACAGCAGACCGTGCACAGGTGTTAAATGGAATCTAGACAGGCAAACACATGCAGCTGAGACCTGGGCTGACATCTCTCCATCACGCTGCTGTGGATGATTGAATCATCGGAGCTCTCTGAGGCTGCTGAGTCACGCGGGTTACCCACTCTACAATGAGCCACTGGGATTGAAAGGCCACTGTCAACAGAAGTAAACTACACAGAACAGGGTTTGTAATGCTTCACATGTGTTACAGAACTTTTATACCATTTTATAGTATATACAGGTGCATCTCAATAAATGAGAATGTCATGGAAAAGTTCATTTATTTCAGTAATTCATCTCAAATTGAATTCACCAACACTTGTGTATTAAATAAATTCATTGCACACAGACTGAAGTAGTTTAAGTCTTTGGTTCTTTTAATTGTGATGATTTTGGCTCACATTTAACAAAAACCCACCAATTCACTATCTCAACAAATTAGAATACTTCATAAGATCAATAAAAAAAACATTTTTAGTGAATTGTTGGCCTTCTGGAAAGTATGTTCATTTACTGTGCATGTACTCAATACTTGGTCGGGGCTCATTTTGCTTTAATTACTGCCTCAATGCGGCGTGGCATGGAGGTGATCAGTTTGTGGCACTGCTGAGGTGGTATGCAAGCCCAGGTTTCTTTGACAGTGGCCTTCAGCTCATCTTAACACATTTTCTCAGTTAGCTGGGTGTTTGGAACTGTCTCTACAGCACTAGGAATGTGACTGAATAGCTTATTTGGCATAGGATAGAAAAAGTATGTATTAAATGCTGTCAATATTTGTGCTTGCTTAATAATGTGAGCCGGTTGACAGTACAATATTTAGATGGATAACTAAAAGTGTGTAAAGTGAATGTGTGTAAACTATATACAGTAAATTATAATAAGTGCAGCACGATCAAATGCAAATAAATACCTACTGTATATGGAAACTATTGTTTGAAAACTTACTTCACAACCTCTAAAAAACACTGTGTAGTATTACATCCGTCATATCATGTGATATACCAGCATTAGTTGCGCTGCATCACTGTCATTCATAATTCCTCTCCCATGGCCTCATGGGATGGTGAAGAGTATATTGTATGCACACGGCGTAAGTAGACAAAGCCAGAAGTAGTAGGTCATCTGGGAGTTTTTTTCCTACTGTGAATTCAGACATAATTCTTCTGTCGCACACTGTTTTTCTCCTACTATTTAGTAGGGAAGTATGTGATTTCCTGAAATGTAAGAGTCAGATAATGGAGACAAATGAAATGTGTACTGTTGGTGTGTCTCCAGAAACACTATCAGGTGCTGCTTACACTGTGAAGAACTACAGTTTGCTAGCCCGTAGAAGATCTAGACAGGTGGAGCTGGGGAAGGTGGAGGGTTTCTGATTCATTATTGTTGATCATATTTTATACACAAATTGATATGGTAAAATCAACACCATCATCACTGTCATTATGATGTTTATAATCGCTGAGGATTGAGGAAGCCTCCCGAGCTGACATTCAGATATTGTAATGGGCGTTTCTTTTCCATCATGTGCTGACCAATCAGAACAGACTGTGCCATCTAGCCAATCAGAGCAGCGTAGGCTCATGTAAAGGAGGGGTTTAGAGAAATTGAATCTTCAAACGAGTAATTTCAGAGTCTTTGAGAAATGAGATAATTATATTATGAGAAAATTAAAAAGTGTTTTTTGACCTTAGATGCATGTAAACCTGTTGTAGGAGGCCTCCAAAACAAAATGAAGAAGTTTTAGCATAACAGAGGTACTTTAAATAGATGGAAACAGGGATGTTGTCGTAAAATAATGATGAAATCATCTTTACAGTGTTGTTAAAAGTCGAAGTAAACCAATTTATATGCTTGTATTCCACTGGATCCTCAGCTGTGTTAACAGGCACAGGAGAGACGAGTGTTTCCCAGCATGAGACTGTTTCTCAAAGCCGAAAGAAGAACGTGGTAAATGAAGCGGCTCACCCCGCTTCCCAGAGCCTGCTGGGATATTGGCTGAGGGTTTGTACACACATTTATCCGTTTCCTGAGGGCACTTACCTGCGAGTGAGATGATGAGCGAGCACCAGCGTGAGGCCTGTGTCTGATCCACGCGCCGACTCAAGAGTGACCGAGCCACGTGAAGCCTGAATTACTGGACCTGCCATAGCCATTTAAAACTCCTGCCCTCAGTTCAAGAAACACTCCGGTAGCTCGTGGAAATTAAACACTTATTTTACACCGAAGTTACTTATAATAATAATAATAAAAAAATATTGAATTCAAATGGATGTGTGCTATTCATCGACATCTACAGTAGAGGAGAATAGAAAATAGAAAATGACACAAAGATCTACACCTTCTGTGAATCAGCTGGAAGTCCAGGTAACCCTACAGTAAGCCAAATGATTGTTTCCCACTGTAGTACACATAAGTTAGTGTGTTCCCATCTCTCTCACACATTTGCACATTATTTTCTTTATATAAATGTGCACACAGATGAACTGATTTATCCTTTGCTTTCATGCAAAACATAATTTTAGAGAAGAACGGTAGGCCTATATATCTGCTGTTGATTTCTTTAAGACTGAAAGAAATAAACAAACTATGACAGATTTATCAATAGCTTCAAATTGCATACACTAATGATCTTTCAGCTGTTAAACACTGATCAGCTGATACTCTTCCACTGTCTGTGGGTCAGTTACTGTAAGCATGAAGAACACAGACTCAAATTCACATTACTGTTATACGTTTTTCATTGAGAGACACTTAAGTTCCCGAATAAGTGATTTTATCCAGCTCTATTTGCTTGATTTAGCTCTCTATGCTTATACTGTAATCGGTTGCATTAGAAAATTCTCATTAAACATTATGTGACTGTAACATCTAGGCTAAGACACTGTGATATTTGTAGTGATTTTGTTTTTCATCAATGCAGCTACTATGTACTAAACCACTAGTTTATATATATATATATATATATATACTATGTGATTGATTCAATGTAAGAGAATGGTTAGACAGAGAAAGTGCAGGATTGCTGGTGTCACTAAGAGAGGTTAGTGAAGCATTAAATTAGCTCTTGTTTGTTTTCCCGCATGCGTCCGCTGAGACTGTGTGCACTGAGATGGCGTGCAGACGGACAGAGCCCTGCTCCCGCTCTTATTCCCAGACTCGTCTGTGAGGCCGTCTCTCTGAGACACCGTGTCACTCAAGACTGATGCTGCTGTTGTGCTTCGGCCCCTCAGGGCCATGTGAGCACCTTGGCACTCCTTCCATCAGAGTGGCGTGGAGTTTGGTGCAGTGCTGCCACACCAGACCTGCAGCGAGAGAAATCTGTAACAAGGAGAGCAAATGCTATGTCGTATAGATTTCACTTCAGTGCATGACCGTGTTCACATATATTCCCTTTGCGTCGAGTTGTAAATAACAGTTTGTGTTAGTTAGCAAGCATCTTTTTATGCTCAGTTCACAGTGCCAATGAAATGAATCAACACGATCCCATGCATTTTAATAGAGAGCCAACGACTTCCGGCGATCTGAGCGACACTGACTGTTGTTGACGGCATGTGGACGTGTCCGGCGACATGACAGAGTTGAGAAATGTTCAACTCTACACAAACGACTGACTACAGTGTGAGTGGAGTTTCTGGAGCGCACGTGATCCTTCAGATACTGTAGTGCGTCTGCAAGACAGAGAAGTGAATCGCTCAGCGTATGTAGTTGTTTAATAAAGCAATAAGCCTCAAGAAGCCGTGGTTTGCAGTGAATTTATAACAGCTAAGGGGCGTTGTTAGGCACGACGCGAAGCGTTATTCCATATACGTAGTAAGGTTTCACAAAATAAAACAGAGCAAATAAAGAGTAATGATATTAATAAACACAGTATTCTTCCACCAAACAATGTAGCTCCTCAGAAACAGTTGTGGTTGCTACAAAGTGGTTGCTGAGCAACACACAAATGTAAACAAAGGTGTGTGTTACTTTGTAGAGTCATTCACAACAGCTTCAAATGCGGCTCAGCCAATCAGAGCCAAGGACTGGAACCTTCCATTGATAAACTAAGCTTAATTATAAAAGCTACTCACAACAAATGGCCAGCTGTCCATCGGGAAATGGCTTGATGTCTCCTCCTTTAGAAATGGACATTACGGCCAGGACCACAGTTGCCAAATCTGCGTATTTTACGGGACTTTGGGCTCCTTTTTTTTGAAGTCACGTTAAAAAAATCACCGGTCGCGGGTTGCAGTTTTTGGGGCTTATTTTAAAAAATATGGTTGCTTGTTAGGAAAACCTGACTAGCAACTCCATTTCTTTACATTCATGGTCGATTTTTTTTTCCACCTTATTGGAGTAAAATCGTGTTTCACATGCAGACAGGTGATGATAGTAGATGTAAATAGACAAACAAGGCCACCAACAGAGATGCACAGAGATGGAGGAAACATGGGAGAAGGTGAATGGTGCAGGGGAGGAAAGGGACCTCATTTAATTTGTAAAATATTTGTATATTTTTACATTTTGAGTGGCATTGTTATGAAAATATTTGCGTCTTGGAATGCTCGGGTAGGATAGCGTAACATTAGGCCAGCCTTCTGTCTGTACAGTTTTGACTTACATGCTCTCCTAAACTGAACATGAGCCCGAGAGCCGATGTGTGGAACATGTCAACAACATACAGTAGAATGAGATCCGTGAATGCCATTCATAAACGTTACGATCATTAATAGTTCAGTTCACCAGCAGACACAAGTGACATGCAGATGTTCAGATCAAACTCTACCCCAGCGTCTCCAGCTCTGTTGTTTTACTGGGGACCAAACTGTGCTACGTTTGCTGTGGTTGGTTTTCATCAATCGCTTGCGATGAAATGACTCTGGAGCAGAAGACTCAGCTTCCACTTTTTGAGACAAGCAGCTGTGAGAAATCAATCAGCTGCAGTTAGACTGGATTAAGAACTGTAGTGCACATAAAGCATTTCCAACGCACCGGTTCCAGTGTTCTGCACACACGTGTTCAAGAAATCAGTGCTCTCTGACCTCAGATGGGTTAGCATTAGCAACAAAAGCTTCAGAGCCGTGCTTATTCCCGAATCAGTCCTGACATGTGTCTGATAGTGGAGACTTTCTCAAGCAGCAGGTTTATAAGAACAGCACTGTGGAGTTTGGGGGGGTTTTGTGGTTGTTGTTTTATAATTAAATGATCTGTAAATGATGCATTAGCCTGAAGTGCTGTTTTACGCTGATCAAAGTGTCTGGCTTTATCTGATTAAGACTGCGATTACACTGTCGCAATGTAATTTCTATTTTTCGCTCATCTGACATAGATTGAATATTGCTGCACACTTGCAAACAAGAAAACAGGCATGAGATAGGACTGTCTGTCTTTGTGCGTCTGATCCTAACCACTTCCAGACACATCACAGGCAGGCCACACTGATCCTCAACAGTTTTTGGCAAGTGCGAGTTGCAGATGGAAAAGCTACAAGTAAGTGTATTAGTAAATGCTAATATTAGGATTAATTAATCAATAAATAGATTGTTGGAATGAGCTCTGTGCAGTGCAGCATTATCCTTAAATTGGGTCTGAGCTTTGCCTTTAAAATCAGTCTTTTGCTAAACATTTATATTATAATATACATGTATATAAAAAACAGTAAAATGGTATAATATTGTCTAAAAAGGATTGTTCTACAGAATGCATTTTTTTATACGGCCTAGATATAAATTATTGCACCTGTTGATAATGCTTGTTCTTTTTCACGTTGTGTTTTTGTCTTTGTGATGATATGTCTGTAAGAAGTGATAGGAATGACTCACACTTGGGTTTCGCTGTATTATTCATTACCTATGCCACTTTACAACAATCTCAGGTAGTCAGCATGGTCATTTGAGTCTCAAAAAAGAGTTTGCCTTGAAGAGAATACGTTTCATCATCGGTCATGTAATGATTTCCGTGAAGAACGCACATGTCTAGTACCTGAACTAGAAAATTCAAGAGAGTAAGATGATGTTAAACAAGCTGCTGGTGCACAATGACATGTAATCACACAGACGGTGAACAATCAACAGCAATGTTGCGATTAAACCTATAGCAAAATTTGGTAGTTTTGTATGTTGTTTCAGGGTTGGCATCATCTCAGATCTTTGTGAGGGCTGGATCCAGACGGAATGTGAATCATTCACAATGACACCATGAAGATGTATTCAGGAAGTAATTTGATCCAGTTTACTAAAATGATTCAAATTTCTAATTTACCAAAACTAGTTGAGAAAGAGACATTTTAGGTGATTGATTGATTGATTGATTAATTGATTGATGGTCAGAGAATGGTCATAGTGTTAGTAGTTGTTGTTTTGGTTCAGAGGAATGGTCTTTTGTAATGATTTGATTGCTGTGAGTGTGGGGATGGGCTGTGTTTGGATGAGGCTGGATGGAAGCGAGCTCCAGTCAGAGGCTTCACTTACAGTGCTGCGCCTCACGCTGTAAAGTCCTTCTCACCATAATGAGTGTCATTCATATCAGGCCAGCGAGGGACAGAAGTGGCAGGTGCAGACAGCACAGGTGCATATAATGCGAGCGGGCCCTGTGGTGTCAGAGCTGTCAGTGAAGGAGGCCCGGCCCGGCCCGGCCTGGCACGGCACTCCAGGAGGTGTCAGCGCTGTAGGCTCCGGGGTGAAGGATGAGCTGGACGTGTGCTGCTTATGAGGAGGAGGAAGCGCTCCATCTGTTTCCTCTCAGAGCTTCTCCTGTGCTTCTCTGTGTCCTTCCTCTACTCTTGTGTTTGGGTTGCTCGTCATCTGTTCACCGCCACTCTCTCTTTCTGTCCCGACTCTACGTTTTTGTCTTTGTATTTCTCCATGTGCTCTCTCTGTGTCTCCAGAGAGCCTGAGCTACATCTCAATTTCTTGTGCCATTGAGATCACTTTCACTCCATAATTAGTCACCGTGCACTCCACTTTTTAAAAAAATGCTATGAAATCAATTAATGGGATGTTTAATCATTCTAGAATCATTTTAAAGTGGGAAAATGAATTAAGTAGACTAACAGCTTGACCTTAAATTGCATGTGAATAATTGAAGGTTAAAAAAAATGTAATTTTGTTAAAACGTTGTTTAATGAAAGTGAGTCATTTCTGCACCACTGGTAGCATCAAATGGGATTTCAAAAGTGATGGAACAAGCTTCTCGAATGCTCTTTCAGTGTCGGGAAGCTGCTGACTGAGTGACCGTATGGAATTGACATAAAATCTACAATAGAGTTGACACATTTACTTCATTTGAAATGATTTCATTCTGTTCTGTGTGATTCTGGTGCCAAATTATTTCAACAGGATTACACAATAAGAAGTTATAACAAAGGTTTTACAGTAAATTAGTGACATTAAATGCTCATTGACTATTGAATGAACCACCGCTTCTGATATGCAGTGTTTTGGGTGATGTATATGTTTGGTGATGGAGATAACTTCAAATACTTTAATACTCTTTATAGACGTGGTCATGTGTAAGTTCAAATGAAAGGATCTGAAATATATCTATGAAATGGTACAAATGTATTTATGTGTGTTGGAATTGGACAAAAATGACAGAGCTACACTTGTTTCAAGTTGAGTCAGCAAAGTCAGTTTTCAGAAAAACCGAGTTAAAGTTTTCTGAAGGTTCCAAAACAAAATCACCTAGCAACCATACCTTAAAATCTCTGGTAATAACACCAAATTTTGCACACACCAATCTATAGAAAAAAAATATACGAGCAGTATCACACTCGTAGATGTGAGATATGGCTGTATATCAGCATCACAGCGTGTGGATATACAGCCATATCTCACGTCTATGAACTGTTATACAACAATTCGATGGCATGAGTGTGTTTATAAATTAGGAACAACAACGGAGTATCTTTAAAAGCCCTCTTTTGTGCAGAACTACTTCCTTCCGCCACAGATTCAAATGTAAAGTTGACAGTTCAACAGCTGAGTCAAAGCCAAGCCTCCGTTACTAATTCCAAAACGTAATTTTAGAACTAGTAACAAATGAACGTTGAGTTGCTTCATTAAAAGCTTATTGTATTACTCTATTAAAAGCAGTTTATTATGTATAGTAAAGTATTATGAGAGAGAGATGGACTGAGCGAGTGTGATTACCTGCATCTAACACAGCATTCATTCTTCAGATCAATCTCATATTCACAATAAAACATTAGTTTGAATGTCCGCTGAGGAAAGCGATATCTTTGTCGTACTATCCTTTCATCTGTTAAGGGTGATTTCCATTGACAGCGCTGCTCAGTGCATTTGTTTGCTGCATCTTACAAGCTGATGTTAAAAGTAAAAATAACTTCCATTTCAGTCTTTTTCAATATAAAAGTCTTTACTTCTGACTTGTAAAAACAGTCTCTTGTCACCATCTAATAGCGGAACAATTTAACTAAAATCACTATCACGAACACACAAACACACTGTGTCACAATACTAAATACTACTATTATTTATTTAAAATATTATTTGTTGAATAATAATATTTAATAAACAACAACAACAGCAATCATAAAAGTTGCTGGACAATTCAGTCAAGTACAAAGACAGCGCTCTGATATGCAGCATTGAAGTTACATGACGTGAGGAGATTTTGCCCTCAGCCAAAATTATTTGCTCTTGAACAAATAATATATTAATTTTATTAATATAAAAAAGACTGCCAGAGACCAAAGACTGCCCATTAGATTTACCCGAAACAAATTAGATCTCATGTTTAACCACTATAGAGACATCAGAGTCAGCGGAAAATTCCAGAAGATCTGGCCGAGGTGAGGCGCTCTCTCTGCGGGTTCGTGAGCACTGAATGACCGCTGATGCTCTGGAGCTCACACATCCGAAAACATCGAAGCACATTTTCAAACAGACATTATCTTTATTAACAAACCGCACATTTGAAGTTCAAACAAGTACATTCTAGCCTAAAAAAAGTCTTAAAACTACATTCCGTGACACAAAACAGTATTATTTTTTTAATTATAGTGGATTTAGGCATCCGCCATGACACTTGCTGTGAGAAATACAGCAACTTCAATACAAACGGTGAACCAGCTGTTGGAGTTCTGTTGGACTCTAATATCGCACTCTCATCAGCCAATCAGATTCGAGGACCAGAAAGTGTTGTGAGAAACCAGAACTGTTGTATAAATTTCAACAAATCATACAAAATTTGTAACATTTCTACGATGCAGTAGATTTCAAGTAATGAGGTCACAGATGTATTTGGAGAGTATTTTACAAAAGCCAGAGCTGCACTACAGTCATGCTGGATAAATCTTTTTTGTTTTTTTATTAAGAACTGTGTGGCGTTATGGCCTGTCCATTATTGCCCCCCCCCCCCCCTCCCCCCAATCAAAGTCCAGTGTGAGCATAGTCTTGCCCTGATCAGACATCTCAACAGTCATTACACTCCTCACATCACATCACATCACATCACTGCTCACTCCTGAGACGTGTGCTTCAGCACTGCTCTTCACCTCCTCCTCCAGCCCTGCACTGCTAAACTAACTCATATCCTGGAATCAACCGCTTGATTCACTTTCCAGAGGCATTCAGAGACTGTTGATGGAGGCGGCTGCTGTCTGACACGGCTGACGTCATCATGAAGTTTTGGATGCAGCGCAATGTTAAATTGTCCTTGAATTGTGAGGTCTGGGTCTGTGAAAGGGTGTCTGGCACAGGTGCTGGATCCGGCTCGAAGAAAATCACCTGTCTCCAGAGAAACACCGAACTAATGAGCATGTTGAAGGCTGGTGCCACAAATGCCCACATAATCCAGCTAACAGGAGCCAAAGCCAAAGAGTTCATGTTGAATTGCAAAACGCTATTGACAGGATCAAACAGATGAGTCTGAAACACAGCAATATTTATACAACAGGCTG